GATTCAGCTATCTGAATGCAGAACATTTTGTTCACGAACGAGCTTCAAAAACGCATTGAGGAGTCAGGATGTAACAATATCTATTGCCTCTCCGCTCATCCAGGCCCTGTGGCAACTGAGCTTACCCGCGGTATGTACACATGGCTACCTACTTTTAGATGTGTATTCATCTTCGGCATAGGTCCTCTCCAATCCTGGCCTATCCTTTCGCCTTTAGAACCAATTGCAAGGTTGATTTCGAAGACCCCCCAGCAGGGCACTTTAACACAGTTGTATGCAGCAACTTCACCGGAAGTGGAAGAGAAAGGCTTAAAGTGCGTGATTCTGTCGCCTCATTCATAAACTGTCGATCATGTCTCCTTGATGCAGGTCTGCTCTTCTTTACCCAACCGCTCAGCTTCAAGCAAAGAATTCTCTCGCAGAAGACAAGGATGGAAAATTGGGTGCGCAGTATTGGAAACTTTGTGAGAAACTGGTGGCGGAGAAGGCCTAGGCAATTAATGTCTTTCATAGACGTGTTTTGGGCGCCATAATTTATCTACAGCAAATTTAGACCGTGGTGGTCTATAAATAAATGTTACTATAGCTACTGGACCGCCACGAGTTGGATGGCAGACCGCGAGTTGAATGGCAGACCGCCGTTGGAGAATGTCATTGAGCGCAGTTGAATCTATATGCGCTCATGAACGCTGTGACCTGCTACATATTGAGAATTCTGACGGAAGATCGCAGATCTATAGATATCCTGAAAAGTTTCATAACCCGTGAAAACGAAGTGGCGTTATACTACATACGCGGTCAATCTATGGTCGATCAGCTCATCTTTTTCGACATACAGTAAGCTTCTCTTCACTTCCTGTATCAACCGCTTTCCTCCAGGCTAGAAACTTCTTTGAAGCAGTCCATTGAGGAACAATATCTGAACAACAACAAGTACAATACGTAGTACAGGTCAATATTCGTGAAGGACAAGATTATTCTGCTGTCCCCGACTCTGACCGAAGGGAAGGGAGGGCAATATTTGCTACGATCGGCCAAAATCTTCCTAACACAGCTGACGGATGACATTTTCGCGCCCGAAAAATACCAGGGGAAACTGTAAAAACAGACACTGATTTTTCCCAAGAAAATTATTTTCTTTCTGGTAAATAAATTGTGATTTTTCACACCTGCTAAATTCATCCAACAAAGCGACATTTATATTAAAAAACTCTGTTCATTTCCCTATCTCAGTATGGGCCCTTTCTTGTTTAATCAATGTTCCATTTCTCATCAGACCATCTTTGTCTTTCGGCGCAGAAATGACAATCCTTTCACCTTAAACAATGGGTATCTTTTGTGTTAGGCAATTTTAATCTTCCGTTCTGGCAGAAGATAGTTTTTTGACCTAAAAAGAGATAATCTTTTGGAATTGATATAGATAATCTTCTACGTCTAATAAATCTTATCTTCTGCGCTTGCAAATTTTTCCATTTTTTCTTTGCGAAACCAAATACCTGCTTTTTGATGGAAGTGCCGTGTGCTCGTGCCACCCACTTCTCAAGTACTTTCCTTTCATCTATCCACTAGAACTGCCATTCCGCCACCCTCTACTAACAAAGTTTGTTGTGTTCATGGATAAGGTTCCAGGCATTGAAAGGGTGTATTTTATTCAGAGCAGAAGGATGAATAAATGGAGGGTTCGCAACGGGCACAAAAGCAAGGTATCTGACCGAAAGCCACCAAAGGAGTGGCCTGCATCTTTCTTTCCGGATGGATATCTTGACTCTCTAACTGAATTTCACAGGAAAAACTGCATGTATCTAAGAAGACATTTCCCCTCTTTGATATGCAGATACTAGATTGGTACAATTTAGGAGTTTAATATTATGTTATTGGTAGTTGGGTGAATTTATTTACCAGAAAGAAAATCAATTTCTTGGGAAAAATAAGTGTTTTCTTTTTACAATTTCCCCTGGTATTTTCCGGGCGCGAAAATGTCATCGGTCAGCTGTGTAAATTTCGCCCCAATAGGTAACTCTTTCACACACCCTTATCTAATCTCTATATTCTCATGCCGCGGAATTGTATGAAGCCTTTTCAGGCGCTACATTCCCTCTCCGCTCCCTGAATACGCAGTTGGGATAGACCTTCTGTAAATGATAACTATTGTCAATGGATATAGCAATACAGTTGCCTATTGTGCCTTTTGGGGTTCCCCTGCCGCAGAATCGTTGAGAGACATACAACTGAATAAACTAAGGCTAGACCCTGATGTCCTTTCCCTCAAATTCTTCTTGAACTACTAAATCTGCTGCTGTCCCCAATATTTCGAGAACATGTGTCAAGCTGTATACCACTCATTCACCCTTCGATGGGAATCTGTACTTGTCTATCTGTGTGATGTACTTGAAACATTTGTAGCTGATATTGTACATCCTTTGTTCAGATCTTTTCCTCTCGGAAAAGAGGGTTGATATTCCCAGTGACGCTTCGTCGGCTAGCTACCTGAACTCTCTGAAGAGTTCAGTTGATAACACTGCAACCGAATGTATCACCTTCTCTTGATGGAGTCAGGGATTGCTGCCGCGGGCAGCGCTAAGGATTCTTACTGGCTTCAAACCACGCTGGCTTGCGATATTCAATCGAGTTCATTAACTCCAGCCGGGTATTCCCATATGTGAATCGTAGTGGAAGACGCGTAGGTCCCGAATTCTTTCCTGACTGTAGGACGCGCAAGACCTGATGCCGAAGAATTGCGCGTTTCCCTATTTAGTAAGAGCTGTCAAAACAGCGCTGGCTTGCGTGCACAATACTCAATCGAGTTCATTAACTCCAGCCGGGTATTCCATATGTGAATCATAGTGGAAGACACGTAGGTCCTGAATTCTTTCCTGACCGTAGGACGCGCAAGACCTGATGCCGAAGCATTACGTGTTTAAAATAATAAGACTTAAAAGAAACAACGAAAAGGCTTTTTCGTCACACCCTCCTTCGCCAGCTATCCAGATAATCTACGCACATCATGTCGAACTCGACCGTCGAAACCCCAAAGCAAAAAATGACCTATGGTATGATTCACAACTCTAGCGCCCCGATTCGTATATTGACTACGCATTCTTCCCCTATTCTAGCACGTCTCGGAAACTCGGGACTCAAAGTATCAAAGATCATCCTCGGATGCATGAGTTACGGAAGCACGACGTGGGAACCTTGGATCTTGGGCGAAAAGGAAGGAATTGAACATATCAAAGCTGCGTGAGTTGATTCAACCTTTGCTTTTATGTTTGCGTCTCACTAATCCCTTGCTTTTTAATAAGATACGAAGCCGGAGTGAACACTTTTGACACAGCCAATGTGCATGTTCCCTTACCTGAGTGGTTGTTCATATTTTGACCGTGACCTTTCCAGATATACTCGAATGGATTATCCGAAATTATTCTCGGCAAGGCCATCAAAGAGCTCAAGTTGCCTCGCGAAGAAATCGTTGTAATGACCAAGGTAAGTCCCTGTGGTGCAGGGGATCGAAAAAGCGACCGACTGAAACGCCCCTCTGTTACCTAGTTTGCAGGAGTCATAGACCGTACCCCTGATTTCAAAGGTCCAGTGTACTGGAACATCGCTGGAGCCGATCAAGATGGATACGTCAATCAATGGGGTGGAAGTAGGAAGCATATATTCGCCACCGTCAAGGCTAGTCTCGAGCGATTGCAATTGGACTATATCGATGTGCTCCAATGTACGTGTTCTGCCTTCCCCTCAGTTTTTCCAATACACGGTCAACTCACCGATGGTCGCGATAGATCATCGCTTGGATCCTAACACTCCAATTGAAGAAACGGTTTGTCGTATACCTCTATTCGTTATACATAATTTCTAATCCAACGTGCTCGTTCACTTCGGAACTGTATCCAGATGCAAGCACTTCACGATGTAGTACAAGCAGGATACGTCCGTTACATTGGGATGTCATCCTGTCGTGCCTGGCAGTGTGCGCTCTCCGTGATTTCTCTTTTTGAAGAACATCGACTGATTGTATAATATAATTAGTCCACATTATGCAAAGTAAGTCAAACCCATGCACAAACACGAAGAAGACGACTCTTTTACTTACTCATTCTTACTCCCTCTCTCTCGTGTGCTAACAGACTATGCAATCACAAACAAACTGACGCCCTTCATTTCGATGCAAAATCACTACAACCTTATTTATCGGGAAGAGGAGCGAGAAATGTTCCCTACATTGAAGGTTTGTATCTGAATTCCATAGCGTACTTGAAAATATTCACTGAAATTTTTCGGCTTTGGTCTTTTCATAGCACTTTGGCGTAGGCGCTATCCCCTGGAGCCCACTCGCAAGGGGACTGGTTGCCAGACCGTTCTCTAAACAGAAAACGGATCGAAGTGAGAGTGATTTGTGCGTGTGAATTCCCTTTTATTCTTCCTATCCTTTTCTAAGTTATCGAAATGCAATCACGTCCTATGTAGGATGATCCGAGGGTACTCTCAACACGAAAGCACTGGTACGATTGTTAATCGGTGAGTCACCGCCCATCTTGAGTATTCTTATGTTATCGGCTTCGAACTCATCATATGCTCTTTTTTTTTTCCCATATAATCAGTGTCGAAGAAATCGCCAAAAAGAAGGGCGTGACGATGGCCCAAGTCGCATTAGCTTGGATGCTGAGCAAAGAAGGTCCGTATATCATTCTTTCAACTTTGTCCATTCATAGAATCATTCCAAATTTGACTGACAAACATTCCGGTACCAGGCGTCGCCGCTCCAGTGATTGGAACTACATCTATTAAGAATTTGATGGATCTGGTAGACGCGGTTGACTTGAAGTTGACCGAAGAGGAAATCAAGTATCTCGAGGAGCCTTATCAGGCCCAGGAGATATTTGGATTTTATTGAGAAGGCTGATAAACGAGAGATAGAACTCTGGTTTTTGAGCTGGTAGCTACTACCTTTACAGAACGCATAGATTCTAAGATGCAAATTTTTTAATTAAAATGTTTATGGGCACTTGGCACAGTTGGTAGCGCGCACGCTTCGCATTATGAGCGTTACCGAAATTGCTCTGCGTGAGGTCAGGAGTTCGACTCTCCTAGTGTCCACTTTGAACTTGTATGTGTTGATTTTTTCCCCTCCGGCTTCTTCTATCCAGCCAAAGTCGTATAACTTATCTACACTGGTTCGTCGTGCATCGAATTATTTGGAACCAAAAGCGGCGAAACGACCAACTCTTCGAAAGATGAGATTCAGGTCTATTCCATAGACATAGTAAATAGACCCTGTTATTGGGACTGACACAATACGGCGACGCTGTTTATTCTCAGCACTTACCCGATAAGTATTAGAACAGAGGATCCACGATGCTCGTCGAATCAGGATACAGTTGGGGTTAGAACATGTAGCAATGGCCGACTAGTTCCTACTACGAAGTAGCGTCAATAAAGGTTTTCACCGCGTAACCGCGTTCAATGCACGTTGTTCACTCCTACGAACGTAGGATCACACTCGATATCTTTAGACGAAGCCCTATTGAAGATGGGCCAGCTGAACCCTGCACAGTAAAGGGCACTTGGCACAGTTGGTAGCGCGCACGCTTCGCATCAAACCAGGTTGTCTGCATCGGATATGCATTGCGTGAGGTCAGGAGTTCGACTCTCCTAGTGTCCACTTGTTTTGCCAACTCATTCCTTTTTTTTCTTTTTCTCCTTCTTGCTTAAAGCCGATCAGACCACTTGAGAAACCTGCGGAATGTTTGATACATCCTGAGTTGGCGTCGTTGGCGTCTTGTCAAATGTCCATGAGAAGCCCAAGACTGCGAATTCGTCAGGCCACCACTCCGATGCAATTAGAAAGGCCATTCGGTAATATTAATCATCGCTTGTCTCCGAAGGAGTGGGGCGGAATTTTCTTTTAGGAACTACTACCGTAGAGCCCCATTAAAAATTCGGGTTTGACGCTGTGGAGATCTGCATCCCTTACAGAACTGAAAGGCACTCATGATCATTAGGCGTGGACACAACGCATGCTATGTACACTGAAGCTTGTTTCACCGCCTCCCACCTCTATCTGCTGACCGTAGATGGCGTCCATGAACTCGAGCTCGTCACCAAACGGTACCACCATCGATCACCACTGGCACAGCGCCTCCCGACGTGCGTGGGAACCTTTTGCCATTCAAAGGTTTAATCATCCAATGTGCGTCTTATCGATGGCACTACTCCCATTTCAGATCCCGCCAAATTCGATGAAAGACTGACAACTTGCTCGATGTTCGATGTATGTACTACTTTGATTGGTTTAATTTACATTCCTATTCCTTACGATGACAACAACAGCCGCCCATTCTTCAAGCCTAGTACCCGTACTCTGGGTGGTCGTTCAATGCCTCCTCAGCCTGTTGTTTAGCGTGGTGCTTCGCCTTGGCCTGGTCGATTGCATCGAGCTGGGGAAGGGGGAAGGGAAGGGAAAGGAAGGGAAAGGGTGATCACGATCAGCGCGATTGGTAAATCGATTCGCACGGAAAAACTCACTCCTTTGGTCTCCACGATGCGGTCAATGAAAGCTCCGGAGAAGGCAGCACTACAGAGGGACAATGATTGAGGGAACCGAAAGGACAGGAGAGAGAAACTCAACACAACGTACAGGAGTTCCTTGGCTTTGGCGTGGCTGTCTGGTTTTCCGTTTGCAGCGACGTGCTTCTCGTACGCTTTGGCAGCCTGTTGATGGACGAGATCGATGGCGGATGTACGGTTCCGATTAGAATGTGCAGTTGAGTAGACGATAACGACGACGACAAACCTCATAAGCAGCAGCGCCGGCGATCAGTTCATGGGAGAGTTCAGCCTTGTGGGGGGCGTTTTGGACCTATATTATCGATTGGAACAGGGATCCTATGTGAGCCGATGGCAACGACACGATTTAGGGGACGTAAGTTACCTGGTCCCAAGCTTGAGCCTTGTCATCTTCGTCGCTGAACCAACCCATAATCGTTTAATAAAGTGAAGTGGAAGGTGTTCTGTTGGTGGTGGTAGTTGGTGGGTGATGAAGAAAAGCAATCGATCCGAAAGTGGTCCTTATATATATATATATATGCCCAGAACCTCAAAGTCCGACACTGCTTCCATTTTTGATCCACCGCGGGCAAAATCAGATGGGATGACCACCCTTCCCATCCCCCTTTCCAAATTCCTGTGCTAATCTGCCCATCGTCATGGTGCTGTGCCCCAAAAATTAACAAGCCGCAGTTCAGTTTTTTCGTCACTATGATATATCATATCTCGTCCCCCCTAACCTTCTCTTCGGATTCAAGATTAAACCGAAATGCGCTGCTCCTCTTTGTCGAATCTCATGGATACGGTGGGTCAGAATGACCCATAGCTGTTGGGTGCGCAGGCATGTGTCCCCTTGGTTATGATTTCATCCTCAGGGTCAATAAATTGACCTGCTTGACGTGCACCAAAAACATATGTACCGCGTTCATATGTAAGTAGTACTTACATCATTCATCGATATCAAAACGTCCAGGTTCTGTCTGTCTTCCCTTCCGATTTTAAATTTCGACTGTAATCAGAGACTAGGATTCGTGATACCGACACGTTCAAGTGGTCTATCGGAAGGTTCGAGATTCCGACACGACACGCATTCGCCTGTTGGAGAGAGTGGGATCAGCACTAGAATTATTATTGTCTCTAACGGACGGAACGTACCTTGCCTCGAAAGGTGAAAGGCAATTTAATCCGATGCAGCTCCTACCTAATGATGATACCATACCTCGCCATACTCGAGTGGGCATAAGACGGGAGAATCGGCTTCCTTCCCGGGCCCGGACCACCTGCTGCTAGCCATAGGTAGGTGGGATAATTATCTTATCGATATCGATGTCGATTCCAATGCGTCCATCGACCTATTTTTTTAATTACGCGTTCATCCGCTTATCTCTACGAGTTGGAGCGGAACGCCTAGGTACGCGTACACATACACTCACTCACGCATAGGTACATAGTACACGCTATATGTAGAAAGGAAGGAAGGAAGGAAGGAAAGAAGTATATTACACGGCACGGTCCAAGATCTGAACGCCGGTTTTCCGAAAAGTATCCCGATGCGGCGCAAGCATCATGATCATCGTCCTCAGGGCGGTCATGAGCAAGTGGGTACGAGGAGCTCACAACTGACCCGCCAAGTCACTGCTGCAGATCCCCCGCCGACATAGAACGGGAAGAAGAATAAGTAGATGACCTGGAATTTGGGTATAGGAAAGTTGTGATAGGATTCACCAACTCTACCGAGTTTCCAGCGGAATGACTGGTAGAAGGAGGCTGGATTGTGTGGAGACATTCGGATGATGATGATGACGTTGATGGTAATGGCTGGGCTGAAATATTAAAAGGTCCATCGGCGGTGGATGATCGGGATTTCTTTAAAAGAGTATAAGTAATACGCTACTCCAATCTATCATCGGCAGTCGCAACATCGATGAGAAATGAGTTTAGAAGAGGGGGAGGGGGAGGGGTTTGAGCCTAGAACCGCGATAGCTTACTTACAGTACTACTAACGATACTTATGTCCCGTGTTATACACTCCTTTCCATCCATCCATCCATCCTTCTTTCCGTTCCGTCAAGACCGGGGGCTGTACGCGGCAGAAAAACTGCTCAGCTCTAGACGGATCAATCATTCCACTCGACTTCTAGTGAGGGACATATAGGAGGGATATCCCTTCGCAGTCAAGTTTCGACGTCGATGGGGTACTCGAATCTTGAATGATTTAAGTATACTACACCCGTCATATACACGCGTTCCAAGACCAAAATCCAGACTCTGCCCGACATCGCCAATGGCCAAGCCAGGGACCAAAAGATGAAAAAAGCACGAACCACGCGCCTCGAGTCTCCTATCTTAAGCTCTTCCAATCCATCACATACGAAATAGATTTTCTGATACTTTCAGCACAAAACAAAACAAACCAAACACGATCCCCGGATGGTGATTCTTGATGGTAGAAACTGCTTCCGGCGTGGAGATTATCATGATGAACCTGTTTGGACTGAGGTATAAGAGAGAGTCTGAGTGGAGCTACCGGGACAAGTATAACGTTCTTGACTCTTTCCTCGAACCCTCATGACTCAGGCGATCATAGTCTGTTGCTCTTCTGGAGTCTCCCAAAAGGGCAACAGACTATGATCACCTATGTCATCTGCTTGGGATATGCTAAGGGCGTTGTTACCAGTAGCTCAGCTTCACCCTGGGATGTTGATGCTCCGATTTACACGTAACACATAGTAGTAGTGGGGGGTTTTTGTCTGGTTAATGAGGAGGGAGTGGTATCTGTTAAGTCCGCTGCCCAAGCTTTGCAGAGCTGTAAAAGTTAGATTTGTATGTTAGAGATTTCGACAGTATGGGTTTTGGAGCATCGGAACGATTCCCTGGATTCAAAGTCCATAAGCAGTATATATAGTAAGTAAATGGATGAAGAAAGGAATAAGTAGACACCGACGGCTGCGCAACTGCATAATGTTGTGCCGTCTGGTCCGGAGCAACCGTGACCAGTGGGTTTACCTTCAGCAAGATCATTGGTTGCGGTGTAGATACATCTACAACTTAATTGGGTCTAACATGCCAAACTCCACAACCTGACAGCTCTCTCTGAGCTCTCTTTTTACCTCAGGGGCATTACAAGCTCAACACTGGACAAAAATTCCAATCTGATATTTTCTTACTTGACGGAGTACTAATGTATTTCAGAACCTGTCTGTAAACGCTTACTGTGGCTCACACTCATGGGTCGTCAACGGAAGAACCTTCTTAAGTTTCTTCTACCGAATGCTTTCCCGAGTAATGGCACCATCCATTACAGTAATATAGCTCCTACAACCGTGTTGAGTAACATTAACATTCATAGCCTTTTGGCGAGGTTGGCATTTAGCTGGTTTCATGCAGTCGCATGACAATGAGATCCCGATAGCTGTGAGTACTTAATCTTATGCTTTTAATGGTTTGATCCATATTCTTACCTAGGACACTAGCAGCAAAGTTCTTGCCTGCAAACCTATGACTGATCCTGTGAGTCGGCCAGTGATGTGCTTAGGACTTAAGACCTAATTAGGTTTAAGGCCTTAATTTGGCTAGATCTTTATATAAGTCTTGATATACACAGATAACTGAGGGCACAAAACTAAGTGAATACATATATAAAGTCCATGAGTGATGAGTAACTATATTCCGAGTACTCATAAACCTGGAACAAGCTTAGAAAAAATATAACGGCAAATATTACAGATGGACATTGCAAGCAGAATATAGCAAGCCCGCATGGAACAATATAGGACTGGGCAAGACTCGATAATCCCAGCTTTGTTTTGACCTTCAATCTCCACAAACCCGGCAGTGCTGAATCTGAGTTGACTACCTTTAGCAATGTTTAGCCTGACTTCACTATTTTTCAACGTAAGATCCTTCAGATCTTCCGATTAGATGTGATACTATGAAGACCATAGTTGGAAAAAACGGCTGTCATGTGCACTGTGTAGTAACACTTGAATGGTATGGATATACAACTCACTAGGGTCATGATGGCCATATATGGAAGAATATTATTGAATGTCGCATATAGATTGGGTACATTATTGGGTGATTCAGCTACCATCTTCATTGCATACCATGCTACCT